TGATGTTCTGCTGTTCCTGTGATTGCTGTAATTTGTATGCATGAATGGAGAAATCTATGTCAAGAAAAATAAACAAGACAGAGGCAATTTTAGACCAAAAGCTCATGCTTACTGGGTGCCCAAACGTTTGTCTGTCTAGCACTTAGCAGTGCTAGAGAGCAGCCAATCATAGCAGATAATTCACCTTTTCTTTGCAGAGGGGAAAAAAAGAAGCTCTTTATTAGAACAGCTGGATAAACTCAAGACATAATGAATCTCATTGTAAAACTGAATACTTCTATATTTAAAACAAACAAGAGGAAGACAGTGCTGGGAGTTATTGTTTGATAACGCAGTTTGCAGTGAATCCACAGCGCATGGAAGGTCATGTGGGTGTGACTGGGTTTCAGGTCATTTTTAAGGAACTCACTGAGCTCAATTACATGTGGTTAATAGCATGAGGGTTGTGAGGGGGCATTATTTTTTATAAAGCAATTTAGAATTCTTAAAAATTATAAAAATATGATTGCCCAATAAAATGCTGTGTGCTTTGCATTGTATGAAATCAGTCAGCATTAAGATTGTGTGGCTCTGTTTTCCATATCTTAAAGAAGATTACAAAAATTATAAAGCATCCAGGCAAAAAAAAGATCAGAACTACTCAAGATCTAGCAAAACTACTATGTGACATGATAATAAGGCAGCTTAGAGTTTTGTGCTTGTATTCATGAAGGAGATGGATAATATATAACCTATCACTGTTTCTAAGTACCTACAGCAGGAAACTTCTGCTAATAGAAAGTTATTTAATTTAGCATAGAAAGGCATAATGTGATCCAAAAGCTTGAAACTGAATATACGTGTATTGATTCTACATATACTTTCTTCATAGTGAGGATAACTGAAGACTGGAGCAATACTCTTCAGAAATCATGGATTCTCTGTAGTTTGAAATGTTTAATGGAAGATACAGTACCTCATAGAAAGAGAAAAAAAATATCTGGAAATCCATTTGAAATGCGGAAATATAGGACTGTGGCATTTGTTTTTACCAGAACATGTGCTATCATTACTATACTGGGAATAAGTGTATGAGAGGCTTAAAGGGATTCCAGGAAGGAACAGTAAAACTCAATATTCCAGGAACTGCATATGTCTACGTCTGGAGCTGCAAATCTAGATGATAAACTTTGATGTTAAGGCAATGTTATGTTTTCATAGTTGTTATCTTTTGACAAAATCTTTCAGCATTTTATATTTTGACAGATACAGCTGATTAGCCCAGTGGCTGCTTTAGCTAGCTAGTGACGTGATTGAATCATCTGAGTATTTTATTCACTAGCTATTCTGTTGAATACTTTGTGGCTTTTTAAATTGATAAACCACTCAAATCACTCAAGTCAGCAGCAGGTCTTCTGCAAGAAAATGCTGTCCTATATTCAAATAACACGCTAAACCACTTTTACAGTTGGTTTATGTAATAGTGTATCACCAGCCCACAAGCATCTGCTCTTAGAGTGCTGCATATTGAGTAGGAACTCAAACATGTACTAGTCAGTGCAAATCAAATGACAGGACACCCTACAGTCAGCAGTGCTACTTCTACTGTACCCCACAGCTGCACTCCCATATCTGAGGGAGTAGGCAAAAATATTAAAGGCTAGGAGAATGTGTTGGGTTTTTTATTATTCAGGAATGTTTTCATACTTCAAACTGACACCCTTTTGACTGCTGAGGAAAAAGATTCAGATGACTCTTCAGCTTCTCTTCTTTATATAGCTACAGGAGGAATCTGAAGTATTGTAAACAGCATAGTTCAGGGGAGTTCATGTGTGATGCCTGTAACATGAATAGTATGTGGAAACATTCTCTGAAAAACTATTGCATACAAGTGAATACAGTGCAAAATACCGTGTTTCACAAATTCAGATTTTAAAACTAGGATTACAGGTTACAGTGTTACTACTGTCACGCTTGATTCATGTGATTCTGGTTGTACTTGTTTTACTGTAAGTCCCAACAGACTCAGACAGTTTTCATCATTTTCCCTTTTATGTACAAATTAGTATAATCTGGCATGTCTGTAAAGGCCCTTGAGAGATCCAATGTACTGATAAGAGAGAATAGCCAGTGACTGGTTTTTATCCTTGAAAATCATGATGTCTACCTTGAGGTATTCAAATCTATTAAAATTAGTCTTCTCTTCCAGTATTTTCAGAAATATTACACTCTCTCTGTTAGTTAAGTCATTATTTAATTAAGTCATATAAAGGCAAAATAAAAGAACAAATTCAGTCCAAAGCCTTCATTGTTACTACTTCTGCTGTATGTCCTGGTGGAGTACACTGGTATGAAAAGATTCAGTGAGGTATGGTTTATTCCTCCATGCTTGGCAGCAAAGCATAAAGTTTGCAGAAGATAAGATGAAGTGCCAAGAACATGTGCCAAATCATAATATGTCTTCAGCTCCTTCTGCTGGAAGGATCTCAACACAGCTCCCAGAATGTTTGAAAACCACCATCAGTCAGTGATAATGCTTCTATTTAAGTAAGCATCGGTCCTTACTTCAGGGCAATTGGCCAGACTGAAGCAGACAGCATAATTTCTCTCTCATTTTAGTAATTTGTGAAGTATTTCAGGATGAACACTTAGGCAAATAGATGTGAATTATTGGAGAGTGCTTTGTTTGTTTGGGATATGCTGAATGAAATAATTGACTTTGTTAGAATGTTTCCCAGAAAGCTTATTTAGCACGATACTGATGCTGAAAGTTGATAGCTGCTTACTCGGGACAATACCAGCATAATTTTCATTAAGGACAATCATTAGCTACCGTCATGGATTTATATTGCATATAATGCTTAAGTTGAAGTCATAGAATGATGCAGAAGTTCAAGCTGGAAGGGACTTAAAAATCATCTAGATCCAACTCCCATTGGATCAAAATTTCCACTCGATTTAAAATCAACAAAGGAATTGTTTGTTCTCTTTGTTGGATGATTGGTCTGTGGGTTGGTATGTTTTGGCAGAAGTATTAATTCCTTTTCCATTACAGAGAATATAAAAAATGAGTACTACAGAGAAGTAATTAAAAATGGATGGAGGAATTACTATCAACCCTTAGAATGTATAATAGACTACTATATATCTTTACTGTTCATTTAAAATAGGTTGTTTAAAAGATATGCTGCTTCATGCTGTTTTAATGGTTGTGATTTTGCTCAGAACTGCAGTTTGAGAATAAGTGGCATATAGAGTTTTTTCTCTGTTCTTACTGTCCACGGAAATTACAACAGATACAAAGTCCCCAGTCACACTACTTGATAGAACAAATTCTCAGCTACAAAACACTCTTTTTCAACATAGTCACCACCATTAGTTATGCATTTTCTACAGCAATGAACAAAAGCCCGCATGCTACACTCATAAAAATCTGCTCCAGTGGAGGTGACCCACTGTTGCTGCTGCTTCTGCTGAAACACACCAGCCACTGCCTCACTGCCTCCAGAAACATTCAGCAAGCATTGATGAATGTCAGTAGGTGCCATTTTTCCACATGGAGGAATTCTGTGACAAACTTTTGTTTCATGTGCACTTCTATGTCAGATGCCATTTTGTCAGACTGCCCCTCTGCTGCCATCTGTCATCTGGTAAAAAAGAATAATGGCGTATTGTCAAGAATGTTCAACCTGGACTTCCATACCACCAGTATCCACCTTTGACTTTGTGGGCCAACATAATAAAATAAGAGGCATTCCTTTGGAGCAGCCCTCATATGCTCTTTTCCCTACAGTTTTCTAGTAGACCATTTGTGCAGAGTAGAGCGCAAGTCTTTCCAGGTCAGAGGTCTCCAATTAAAATGTTTCTGTAACAACTGAAAAAGGAATTTTTTGGATACTTTCAAGTTTTAGCTCTCTAATTTACTAATCTGTAGAGTTTACATCTTTGTACCTCATTTCAGAATAGTCTACTGCAAGTTTCTTCACTTTTGAAAGGGAAAGTAAAGATCATTCTGTTCTGACCACTGCCTTCGGTATTGGTAGATCACTGGCATTTTTGTGCAGGATTTTATGATTTGGTCATATACAACAAGATAAGCCTTATCTTGTAAAATCTTTTTTTCTATTTATTTCATAATGCTTGCTGTCATTAATGCATGTGGAGTTGTTTCACTTCTTTCATACGACAATATTATTAATAAGGTCACGTTTCATATTCCTCTTTTGCTTTACTTTCTGCCTGGTAATATTCTGGAACAGCAATTTATTGTTGAACTCTCTGACTCTGACTGGAAATGCTATAATCTGACTTGGCAGATTTTAATTTAGTGCAAAAGGAAAAGATCTAAAGAGAACAGATAAAAAACTGTATCTGGGCAACAAGATGTTTCTGCAAAGGAATACATCAGTGTTAATTTTGAGTAACCCAGTTAAGTTGCCACTGTGGTTTCACTTGGGCTAAGAATTGGTCTAGGCAATGTAGTTCTGAGCTGGACTTGGTTATCTGTGGAGCATTGTATTGTACTGTGTTGATGAGACAGAGCAATAGTTAGTTGTATGTGAGCTTTTTACATGAGTGTAATGACTAATTGTAAAAAGCTTTTTCTCAGATTCAAAAAAGAAAGCCTGCAGAACTGCAATGACCTTAGTTCTAAATTATTAACTAAATAATGTTTTCATAAGCACAAAAAGCTGATACATTCATGTGTTGAATGAACCACTTAGGTGTTCTAGAAACTGAAGAGGCATCCTGCTGAATTTTTGTAATTTGTGCTTTTTTTTTCTCAGAGGAAAGAGAACAGGCAGTAGCAAATCACTCACAATTGCACATGTTTCTGACTGATGGTGTTGATACTTTAATTAGAGCAGTGGGAAGTCAGCTTGAATTCTTTCGTTTTACAGAAAGCAAGAAGAATTGAGGTTAATTAAAGGTTAATTAGAGATGAATTGATAGTTCCATTTTTTTTTCTTGTCTTTTGGTGATAACAGAAATGTTAGAATCCTTGACTTTGATGACAACAGATTGGGTAGGCCTGGTGTTGATTGCTACTGCCAACATGAAAGTGGTGCTGCAGTCCTACAGCTCCAGTTCTTAATCAATGAGGTAAGTATATATTTACTTGAATTCTTCTATGTATGTTTAGTTGAATAAGGCAATTGGTGTATTGTAATTCAGTGATACAACTTTTCCTGTTGAGAAATTGTGCCAACAAGTAAGTGGCATACATCCAGAGGACGTTCATCATGCAGACTTCTAGAAGACTATTCTTGTGACTGCACGCCAGGAAAACTGTAATGTTTATTTACATCACTATAAAGTACTAAACAAAAAGTAGTCAATACATGAATGTTTGCAGATAGATGTAAAATCCATTCAATTACTGAATATGCTACACAGCTCTGTTTCAAATAGCAGTTAATAAATGAATTACCTTTTTGTGTGGAAAAATATTGATGATAATTATCTAAAAGCTCAATAGATGTGGACATGCTGCTATTTGCAGTAAAAATGAGCAGCTGCAGGGATTATCAATCAAACAAGCATGCTTAGCCTTTCTACATGGCTTGTCAAAATCAAGTTCGGATGATGTAAAGAACAGTACGAGACTATAACTTGCTCTATCAGAAGGTCTCTGGAGATAGTAATGCTCAAGAAGACTTGCTGAGCCTATAAATCTACTCAGCAGATTGTTTTCAGTATCTCATAACTTGACAAAATTATGACATAGTCTTAGTTCAGTTTTCATTAGTTTTCTTCCCTAATGTATGAAAACACTTTTGACAATTTCAAATCCTCAAAGCTATTAGAACTTGTCAATTAAAGGGCTTGGGTTTTGGTGTTTTGCTAGTTTATTTTTTAAAACTCAGAAGTATTTTTGTTCTGAGCTTGTTTGGAAAAGTGCCTGAACCACTAAAAGTAATGAAAGAAGACTGAAACTTCAGAAATAATTCTTTATAAAAGGGCTGGAAAAGTGTTGGGGGAAAAAAGGAGCCAATATTTGAATGATCTGGTCCTTTGTGACCAGCAAGAACTGTAAAATGTAAGATTATTTTGATTTCTGTGGTGGAGATTCAACCTCTGTCATTAGTCCAAACTCTTTGGGAGATGACAATTAAAGCATGGATTATATTGTATTAGAGAAGTCTTACTTTCATAAGTTGCATTTACACGTCAGCATTGAAAGAAACAGTTGCTAGGATTAGGAAAGAAATCTGATATGCAAGAAGGGAACTTTATGCCTTATCAAACCATCATAGTTGGTATTATCTGAGCGTTCAGTCACGTCCTCCCCATTTGCCAAGATAAAGCATTGTCTACTGTTTGAGCAACGTCCAGTTCCTCTATGCCATAGGAGCACATAGGGATTGAGCCTTTCTATCAGATGTGATTTGACATGTAACTGTAGTAACCCTACTGATACAGCAGCAGATACCTGCCTCAACAGACATTTTCACTTGGCTTTGCTGTTGTATGGTATGGTTCTTGAGGATCAGACTCAGAACCAGACTTCAGAGTATTTCTGATCTGTAGCAAAGACACCATCCTTTTGTCTACATCTCTTTTGTCCTGTCCTTTTGATACCTGTCCCTATGTTCTCTTACCTGCATCTTTTCACAGTTCCAGTTGTGAACTTCATGTTGTCTTCATATGGCTACTGTATTGTGCTTGGCATTGTCATTTGTTTGTATGTCCCTTTTTCCTTTAGTTATACCACTCATACTCACCTTTTAAAATAAGTACTGGCTGTCCTTCTTTTCATTAATCTCTATGCTTGTGTGGAAATCTGTGGGAGTTTGCATGTATAACTTTAGTTAGAAGCTTGAATTTGTATTTTAAATTGATGGAGTTTTAATTTATATTCTTACAGAAGGAAGCAAGTATTTCTCATAAATTGTACTGTTTTCTACAGAGAGATCATTTTAGCAGTGAGAATGACTTGAGAATAAGACAGACCCCATAGCAGACTGACATGTGCCGTATTTTGTCTGTTCTAGGGTGCTTTGGTCAGTGCATGTGCAGATGATACGCTCCATTTGTGGAATCTCAGACAGAAACGACCAGCTATCCTCCATTCTCTGAAGTTTAACAGAGAACGGTAAGACTATATAAGACAAAATAAAAATATTGTTAAAAAAAAACACACTTATTTTCCAGATTTTTAGTAATACCTTTGTCTTTCTACAGGAAGGTATAATGTTGTCCTGAGATTTTTTCCCTCCGTTGTTTGAACCTTGTATTCATAGAGCAAAAACTTTGCTTTCTCTTTCTACAGCCTTCTCAGAGCTAGACGAAGTGTAGCTATTCTTTTGTCAGATGTTTTTCATTTGACCTTCTATTTACTTGAATTGGTGTGAGCAGTGGTATGGTTGCTGCATTTGAAGACCAGACACAAAGCACTGTGATCCTTTGAGGCTGACCTGTTGTTCAGTCCTTGGCAGAATACCTTAACTGACTGTAACACAGGATTTGTTTTTCTCTACTGAAGCATTTTATTTTTATAAAATACTGTAATTTTAGCAGAAATCAATTGTGAATTTATGAAACTACATAATTGACAAGTGAATCAGTCTCCTTTTCTAAATTTTGCTTTATCAGTACCAAATTGTAAAAACTTTGCTGAAAATAGATTTAATGAGTGATTGTTATTTTCAAACTCAGACAAACAGAAACTGAGTACTTTAATCTGTATTTAGTCACTCAAATAAAACTTGCTACAATATTATGGAGACAGAATGCTATTTTTGTATTAATATTAAGAAAAAGTTCTGCGTTTCTGTAAGGAAATTCAGTTACTATTTGGAAGAACATGTTTCAGAGGATAAATGTAGCAGGGTTTTTTTGAGGGGGAGTAGTTATTCCATTCTTCATCTTTGGGATCTGTTTGTTTTTGAGTTGGAAGACATAGCTATAGTGCATAATATGGTTTAGAATGGAAGTTCAAGTGATGCTGTAGTTCTCTCAATATATGCGTTCAGTGTTTCTTCAGATACAGCAGCTTCTTTTTTAGGTATTAATGTATTTTCTTTTGCACTGGTGAAAGATGTCAGTGCTTTACCAAGACTGTGAAGAAGCAGTCTCATCAAAGCTTTAGCTGCAACAAATCTGAAAATTCTTATGGAAAGAGAGTTTTTATTTGTTGTTTTTTTTATTCCAATATACATCACATTGTCATTGAATTAATTAAGTTGTAGATTTTTAAAGTTTATTTATTTATTTATTTATTGCTAAGAAAGAAAATGCAATATCCTGATTCTGAAGATTCCATAACCATAAACAGGAGTATATCAAGTGATTTGGAACTGGATGAGAGAGGATGAGAAAAATTATAGTTGTCATCTTACTTATGTTGAAATATTTCAATCTTAGTATTCTCATCAAGTACATAAATCATTCACAATTTGTTGGTAAGTCTAAATGCTGTATCCTAGTATACCATGGTCTGATTCTTCCAGCCAACAATCTTTCATACAACCTAATGTATCAGCATTTAGAAGAATGCAGTGTCTGTTCAGCTGTTTGCCTGTCATTTCTTAGACCAGCATGATCATGGCTATATCAGAATTTTTGGATGAAATGAAGACATGTATTTGGGCTGTGCTTGGAGCAAAACATTCCTCTTTATATTTACCTGAACTTTCTTTTGCTTCTGACAGCCTAAAGCACAGGGCAAAATATTTGGAAGCAAGTTATTTGGAATGCTGGAAAAAATTGAATTATTATATTATATATTTTTTATTTAAGAAGCATTTTTGAGCTGCGATTTAAAAGGATCTGGGCGTATAGCTATTTGTAACAAACACACAGCTTGTTATATTTCCTTTTGTCAAAATGTAGTAAGTTGTGATTAAATATATATTTACTAGTTCTTTTATGCATATGTTAAATTACTGGTACAATCACTGCCATTTAAATCACTTTATTAGCACATTAAAGACTGTGAGGCAAATATCCAGATAAAGTGTTATATAATGCTGTCAAATAAGTAAATCCAGTTTTAAATTACAATAGAACTTTCAACAAGTATGAAGAAATTATATTGTGGGCAGTTCTTCACTTCTGAGGGCTCTGTAACGCTGCTATAACTTCTTAGCTTTCTGTGTTCAGGCACTTGATTCCAGAGTGAAATCTCTTCAGTTTTATTACTTTTTCTTTTAATGTAGATATAAATGAATTTTACATAACCAATCTTGTGTTTTCAATTTTCTACGTTATGTTTTCTATAATGTCAAAGCCATCGTTAACCCTCTCATTAAATTTTAGCATTTCTCTGTATAAATGTCTAATGGATTTCAGTCTAAAAAAGAGCTCCCATGGTTTTTTTCTGTGGGTATTCTTTTTATTAGAGTACAGAAGATAGGAATTACGTGACACTCAGAGAAAGAGCAAATAATGGTTGTTAGTTATGAGAAAATTGCAGCGAAATGGATGTAAGGGGAATTTGGGAGCCTGACAAAGCAGAAAGATCAAAATTGATTTTCTTCAGGAGATTCAAAGATCTGTCTCAGAAAAATGTGTCACCTTTGCTGTTGGAGCAGATACCTTTTTTTTTTTTCCTTTCATCTTTTACTTTTGCAAGGGAGGCTAAAAGGAGTTAAGATTCGTATTGAATCTAGAACAATACTGATGAGAGAATAATTATTTATTTTTTCTTATTTTAAATTAGTAACCCAGTGAATGAGCTGATTTTTTTTGTTCTGTCGTGTAATCTGCTGGACTTCTTAGCATTTGATGTTTTTGCCTTGTGTCAAAATACAGGGTTGTCATATTTCTCCTGCTATAGTTGGAATGGAAGCATGAAGAACCTTCAAATAAATATAGCCACTATGTTTCTGTGCTTGGTCCCATTCCAGTAACTGTAATGATAAAACTGTTACTCAGAAACATGCTTGACAGTAGCATATCAATTGATAATACACAGTTTGTGGTTCTGTGCATAAATAGGAAGCACAGCTAAGACTCCTGATGGATAACATTAGGATTGACCTATAACAACCAAAAACTGTAGTGGACTTTTTGTGTCTTCTTTTTAAATAGTCAGAGCAGCAAGCTTCAACAAGTATAGCTGAGAATATACAGTTCATATATATGTACTTAGTGCAACTCAGATTTCCGTGGTCATAATTTTTTTTTTTAAAGTATGGGTTTCAGGTCATACAGGCTTTCATTCGTTAGTTTCTCTTACAAACATGCTTTATCTCCTGTTATTCTGAAGCTGAGCTAGCTGAGTTATTTTGTGGCTGACACTGGGGGTAGTCTTCCTTTCTTATTTTAGCCAGTGCTGATTGGCATGTTACAAGTGAGCTGACAGCACTGTCAGTTTGTACACTGACACACTGTACTCATTGTACATGAACACACTGTAAATGTTCAGTTGGATCTTTAAATCCATCTTCATGCACTATGCACTGATGCTGTGACAGTACCTTGAATGCCTTCCTGAAGGGAAGTCACCAGGAGCCTGTGTAACTGGTTTGGGGCTATGGCCTGTAATACTTTCCAGTGTGTTAAGAGTATTCTGGCACAGAGGAAGGGGAGCCTCTTAAGTGGATGACTTAGAGCAATTGCTTTGTCAGCTTTAACTTACTGCTATTTAGTATCCTGACTCCTACACCTAAGATTTTACAGTATTTGAACAAGGTGATAAAGGGTATTACTTGGAATCAAAGAGAAAAAACATAGATATCTTTGGATCAGGTGACTTTTCTTTTTCATTGGTCTGTATTCTTTTCTGATAGCAGCAGGACTTTTGCTGTATCATTGCAGGGTTTTGTATCCTTTGTTACTTGCCTCATCAAAAGGACAGCAGGAGTCTACTAAATTAATAGTGATGATGGGCTGTGCGGTCTCTGTACTAACGCAAATCTATTTACTTGTGTGTTAGGGACTTACATTCTGTGTCATCAGCAGTTCAAGAAATTAATTCCTCTTATAGAAGAGCTGGTTAATGGTTAATATTCTATAACTGCAAATTAATCAGAGATCTGTCATCAAACATGATAACAGTTAATAGGTTCAGTGAAGTTGCACAGCCACTCTATAGCACAAACATTCTAATTGAACAAAAAATTCTAATTACATGATGTAATGCTGCATTTGGCTGTTTAAAAGAATGACAAAATTCAAATGGAAAGCAATATTTCACCATACAAACCTTTCCCAAGTTGTCTCTCAGTGTAAAAAGGTAGACAGGATTTAAATTTCTGTAGGATGAGGACAGAAAAAAACAAGGAACACAAAAAAAGCCATGGTGTTGATTGGCATTCACTTCCACATCTTGAAGAAGCTTTTACAAAATGTCCATGGTGTAGTCCTGCATCAGTGCTTGTCACTTCTGAATGATGCTCAGTGCTATCAATAAGTAGTATTGTCTAGAAGCTGTTGATTGGCACATCTAATTCAAGAAAAACTGACATTTTTAACAATCCCAAGCATCTTAATCTGGCCTTTCTTCTATGTTTGTACTTATAATGAGTTTTTAAGATAAACATATGATGCAGGAGATCATCAGAATATTCCTATATTCCTGTGAGGGAGTATACTCTTTGTATATACGCACCCCTTATTTGGAATATAATTCAATGTATTGTTAGAATGAGGTAGTAGCTACACAATCTACTCTAGCAGCCAGAAGTAGGTACTGACACTGGAGATGTTCCATGAATGTCTAGTCTTTGCCAGTCTTATGACAGTGTAACCACCATTATGACACTTCCTCACACCTCATCATGGGGAAAACTTATAATGACCATAATTGGTCTACTTGTTTGATCACACAATTATCCTTATATTACTGTCATCATAAAAGTTACTTAGGCAAAATTCCAGAAGCAACTCATGCCACAACTCATACCTACTTCTATTATTTTTATGCTTGTTATAGTGATGAAGGATGTTTAATAAATTAGTATGTAGAAGTTGATCACAGTTAAGTGATAATTTGAGGTGTTATCTGTGAGAGACAAACTTTGTTGCAGATCAGCATACTATTTATCAATACAGTGCAAAAATTGAATAGTTTCTTTAGCAGTTCAAGAACTTTTGAAATTGTAATTAAGGTGGATTGAAGATGAGAGCTTGAAAAATATTTATTATGCT